AAAGGGTTCGTGGGGGGCTTTCTCGCGAGAGAATGGGTGCAGTGCTGAGCGGACTCTTCTTGCCCTCGTAGATCGAGAGCGTGAAGCCGGACGAGATTAGATATGCGCAAAAGCAGTGGTGAGTGTCGAGTCCGACTGCCGTTACCATCTGCTGCTGCGAACAATACGCCGTGCCGACGCGCTCGATCTCGTCCACAGGTACAAGATCGGCAGCTTTGAGAAGATAATGGATGTGAGTTTGCAGATGTAGAGTGTTAAAATACCAAGTTTACTCGATGGCTCAATCTTCAGCCCGGCGATTGGACCGTAGAGCACCGTGGTGATGAAGTTGGACAAGGATGGAAGAATTGTGCACTTTCAGGATAGATGGGGCCGCAATGAGATCGGCTCGAACCCTGTGACATACGTGAGTGCTCATCAACGCTTGCTGAGACGTGTTGGATGCTGACATGCATCGACACGCACCCTTTCCTGGTCATGCTTGCAGATCTTCCGAAGGCTGAATGCCGTCACGCTTCCCCTCTTTGTGTCCATCCCCGAGGGCGGCAAGGCTCACAAGGATCTTTGACGTGCAGTCGTACTATCAGGAGACGCCACTTGCTCACATCCCTTCGGAGCATGGCATGGCATGGCATGGCATGGCATTATGGTCAAGTACAAAGCGGCTCTGGTCGCGTGACTGTCATCAGAGCCCCATGGGGGGAAGGCACGGTGGTGTTGAATTGACGTGATAATTCAGGACTCGTGCGAGCTACTTCTCCTGCTTGCCCGATGGAAGGAAGCGCAAAGTATGATGTATAATACATACACATAGTCTCATCGGCTGTGTTGTACCGAGATGCATTTGAATGAGCTCCCTCGCGCCTCTTGATGTCCTGAAATCGCAAACGTCAGTCAGCCTTGCTGGTCGCCGGCAAGTCGCCGAATCGTGCCAGCTAGGTCATCATCCGCGCGCGCATCGCCCAGCATGTAGCTGCTGGCTGCTGCAGAGCCGCCAATAGGCGCGCGCGTGGAAAAAGCTTGATCCGCGCATGGCCACTCGTCACTACTCACTACACTCACTCACTTCGCCTCCACTTGGCTTGCATGGAGCACGTCTCGGTCTCGCGCGACTCGCCTTTGAACGCCGCGAAATGACCCGCGCCTCGCCTTCTGTGCAATCGTTGACGTGATCAGTTGAGGTCTAGTCTAAGCAAAACCATATAAAGCCTTTTGCCTTT